GGACGGCTAGCGCAGATAGCCCTCGTGTAGCTTTGCGCGAAATTCCAAAAACAAACAAAACAAACAAACTTGTCTTCCTTACTAACCTAGCCGTTAAAATCTAATCATTTAATGAATCCCAGCTTTGTGCACTCACGTGTCTTCCTTACTAACCTAGCCGTTAAAATCTATAATCATTTACTGAATCGCAGCTTTGTGCACTCATGTGTCTTCCTTACTAAGTTATCTCAAGTTACCTTCCAAGTCTTCCTCTTGTAAAATGAAACCCAGGACCGTTTATGTTGTTTCATTAAATCTCCAAAGTCGTTTTCCATTTTTCCTCTTGAATTACACCTCTTCCACAGTGTAATCTGGACAATCACAGAGCTTCTCGTGCTTCATTGTTGTCTTCCAGTCTCATTCTTGGCATTCACCGCGTGCCTTATGGTTTCAACAAACACATCGAGGCCAGTGATGAACACTGAGAGTCAGACAGTAATTTTTTTCTTTCTTAACTTCTGAAGAATCTTCCCCTATGAACCGACACAGATGGCACATCGTTAAAAAGCTTTCACCTAATTTTTTAGTTTGCTTATTTAAAATATTTGTTATTATTTTCATAATATCATTTAAAACCATTTGTTGGTTAAAATATAAAACATTAATTTTGCGTATGTGTTTTATATTTAATTACAATTCGATATTCTTCTTATTTGACTTCAAACAATGTTTTTGATATTTCAAACTTTCAATGTATCAATTTGTTACAACACTATTGTCGGCTGATCATTCTTTAAGTTATCTAATATTATAGCCTAGTGTTGCTACAACAACCGGCAAGAATGGAAACCTCTGTTGGTAAGATAAAATCCAACAAACAATTTAACAAACTTCATAATTATTGTTTGTTTTAGCGCTAAAGCACATTGGGCTCTTCACTGTGTACACCGCTGGGAATCGAACTTCATATTTTTGCCGCAAACTTACCTCTGACCCACCGACGGACTCGGTTAGTGGCACCATGAAATGTTGATTGGGTGAATTTGACAACGTTTAATTACAAACTATCTTATATCCTCAACATTCTGGCTTCTGTTGATGCAATTTTGTAAGAAATAACCAGTGAAGGATCAATATAGTTTAAAAACAGCTTTAAGTAATCAAAGGGAAACTTTAGGTTGTATTGCTCAAAAGGGGGTGGAGTTTAGAGTTTAATAAATGGATGGGTTGTTAAAGTAAAATATGCAGGTAAGAGGGCGTTGGAAGAATATCAGAACATCTTCAGGAGAACAGGGTACCCTTAGAGATGGAGCAAAGAATCTGTCTGTAGATTGTAGTCTACAGGGACATATTTCAACAAGAAACACGTGTAAATTATGTAGGGGATAAAAAACGGGCCAATGTGTTATGGAAATAAAGATTGAACATTTTGGAGCTCTGTAAAGTTCTTAGTTTAAACAAGACTTGTTGAAGTTCTATTATTAGTTTAGTTTTTGCTGGAAAAGTGTTGTTTCTAGGATTCTCTCAATTAATAGTAACAGAAATACCACAGCCATCAGCTGTCTTCCTAACTGCTGCTGAAAATCAAGCATGTAGGTAGGACCAGTGGGAATTGTAGAAACAGTGTTAAGCTGTTTTCGAAACTTTTCAGGAAATATATAATCTAGTGTCCATGGGACCTCTTGGAGACGGCCATATGGTGTGCTCTTGGAATGGACAATGTAGGACCCATGGGATTCCTGCAGATAGCAGTACAGTGTACTCTGGAAATAAACCACATAGGACCCATGGGACCCCTGGAGACAGCAATATGGTGTATTCAAGAAACAGACCATGAAGTAGCATGGGGTTCTTGGAAATGACAATGTAAGACCCATGGGACCCCTGGAGACAGCAGTACGATGTACTCTGGAAATGAACAATGTAAGACCCATGGGGTTCTTGGAAATGGACAATGTAGGGCCCATGGGACTCCTGCAGACAGCAGTACGGTATACTCTGGAAATAAACCACATAGGACCCCTGGAGACAGCAGTACGGTGTACTCTGGAAATGAACAATGTAAGACCCATGGGGTTCTTGGAAATGGACAATGTAGGGCCCATGGGACTCCTGCAGACAGCAGTACGGTATA